AGAAATTTGAAAATGGATCAATTTATAAAGTAAAGTTTTTTGGTTGTTGAAATAAAAAACAGAATCAGCCTGGGACGAGGCCGGGGAACCTTATTTGGTTTCCCTAATTTAAACTGAGTGAGTATATTTCGAAATTTGTCCCACAAGTTAATTGCAAAAAGACACAATTCTTTCCAAACACAACAACTCAACAGAACTCTTCCACAGACACACTTTCGTAAATTTCGTAGTTGTTCATCCAAAAGTTCGATCGCGAATGTGTAGTTCTTTGGTGAATTCAGGGGGAAGACAACAATTCTTTCCAAACACAACAACTCAACAGAACTCTTCCACAGACACACCTTCGTAAATTTTGTAGTTGTTCATCCAAAAGTTTGATCGCAAATGTGTAGTTCTTTGGTGAATTCAGGGGGAAGACGGAAATTGGTTTCTGGTTTTCTTTTGTTCAATTGCTGTTGTCCTTGGTGAGTTCCTTCCCTTTGAGGGTTGGAACTCTTATCTGATTTTTGCGCGGTTTTTTATGAGTTTTAATTGTTTTAAATTTGCATTGTTTGGCGTGCGCGTGTGGCGGTTTCCCAACAAAGGCTAACCACACTGTCAGAACAATGAAAAAATCAGACCTGATTTCTGCACAAAATTTGTCCACCAAAGAACAAAACCACATTCCCTATCAAACTTTTGGAGTGCACACATACAGCAAAATCTTACGAACATTGTGGAAGAGTTCTGTTGAGTTGTTGTGTTTGTGCAAAATTTTGTCTTTGTGTGTTTAAACTGTGGGACAAATTTGAAATTCATTAAACCCAAATTTAAACTAGGAAATCCATCAGGATTCCCAGCGTAGTCCCAGGCTGATCCTGTTTTCTATTTAAAAATTTTGAACTTTAATTTAGTTTCCAATTTCTTGATCCACAAGCAAATTTCACAAAATTAGTATTAAGGTATAAGTTATTCCCTAACATGGACCATGCCACATCCCGTTTAACTTAGACTCAAACACAATTCAAGCAGATATATTTAATAACGAATAAAATGCTTCAGACAATAAAATCACTTTCCAAAGAGCGTGTCGAGAATTCCTTTAAAAAATTAATTTGTGAAAGCTCTAAAATTTGTTTTCCAAATCCGACCGCCAATCTCAGTGATGGATTTTTGATATGCTGATATATCTCTGTTTTTGTTGTGACTCTTTGAAATCAATATCAACTTTTCTGCTTTGATATACTGTAAGTCGAAACCTGTGGGACTTCGGTAAAGTATTTTACTTCGTGAACTTTAATTAAGAGAAGTTCCCCGCCAGTCCCGGGATCATTGTTGATTAAGCCGAGTTACGCATTAATTCTTCAACTTTGCATAAACGTAGTCAACAACCTTTTTCGCGATATTGATTTGTACAAGTTTGTATGCGCAAGCTATTCTTGTACCTTTTCTATACTGTATACTGAATATCAAGAGTATTACAGAAATGCTTCAGGATATTATAATCGAATGCTGATTGCGACAAACGAGATCAATGAACACACGTGTCTCGGATACTAGTACATATGAGGCTCTTCTGATTGCATAAAAAGTTACTGACCTACATTCGCAGTAAAATATGAGAGTATAGAGAGAAGTTTTCGGAATATTTTCTGATGGATTTCAGCAGTCCGAAGACGAAATCATTCCACTTCGTGAGCTCCACTTTTGACAATATTTCTTTTTGTTCATCTTGTTTCTTTCGTTTTTTGTTGTTGTTGAATATTTCAGGAAATTCGGTACAACTCTCCGAGAGGTGGAATAACCATGGTCACGGAATCTGCATCTGCGACACGCAGTTTCCTGTTCATTCAAAACGTTCGTCAGCCAGACTCAGGGACGTACACTTGCAAACCTCCGTACGGGAAAATCGCAACTGCAAAAATACTCGTTCTGGATGGTCAGTGATTCGTCTCTTTTTATGCGTGTAATTTTATTTTTATTATTTACTGTGACGATTGCAATATGATTCATGGAGTGATTGGCCCACCTTGAACACTTATTGGAATAGCAGGGCGAGGCTTTATCCCATTAGACCCACTGTCTATATATTGATGATTTAGAAATTTACCAGTTCTAATACAAAAATTTGAATTTTAAAGGGTTGTCGCTTCGACGATTTTTACTCGCGTGTTTATTGTTAAAGCTAATTGAGGATTCTTCGAAATCTGAATTATTTGAAGAAAAAAAATTCACAAGCATTTTTGGCAGATTGTAAAACGATAGATATTTTCTACGTGTTTTATCGGAATGGAGTAAATCATCGAGGAATTTGTTCATTTTTTCTAATTACTGTACATGAAAATACGAAGTACAGGTGAACCTCTTTAAGTCAAATTTCAAGGGACCAGCAGCAACAAAATTTGAGTTAGAAAGGTGTTTTATAGTTAGGGAAACGAAGAATTTTTGTTGATGAGTGAAAGGAAGAATTATATGAAAATTGTAATTTACGATATTGTGGGTCTTAAATTTGTTTTTAAACGACCTGAAAGAATGCTGAACTTGCTGTAGGCAAGGGTTTATTTGTCCAATCCCAAAAATTTGAGTAATGGAGGTTTGGGAGGAAAATCTTTCGAGTTTGCGAGGTTTTTAATGCATTTTTCTGTGGGAATCCAGACAGCAGAGACTTTTAAAAAAAATTGACATGGCAAGGTATCTCTAGATACGTTACTGATGTTCAACTGTATGTTTGACAGAGAAACCAGTGGATATATATGTGTATATTTATTTTTTTTTCACTGCTGGCAAATTTTCATTCGGAAACTTCTACAACACGTCGTGTCACACGAAATAGATCATATCTCCGTTCCGTGCCAGATGTCACCCCCGTCATATGTCCTGCATGAACAGAACCTTGATTACGAATTCACGACGCATAATTAATTGACCCAAAAATTCCCACTCTTTCGAGCAGGTGAAAGACCGGCAGCCATGCAACAAGGATCGGCGAGTTTAGCGCAATGCACCTGGCAAGCATTCATCATGTGGACAATAGCTCTTTACACGTGGTCAAAACTCGCATCGTCGTCGTCGTCGTCGTCGTCGTCATCAACACCAGCCATCTTGAGCATTGGCGATGCACGACACCGCAGTTCGTGTGCTTTGCGGAAAAGTTATGCAGTGGTCAGGTGATGAGACACGACAGTACGTGCTGCCAATTTGACGCAAAGTGGCATCTGCTTATTCCTTTTCCGCGAAGGGAAACGCTTACGCGAAATGTCCGCGAGAATTCAAAAAAGGCGCGTTTTCATGTCATTCAACAAAATCTCGCCGCAGCTCAGACTGTTTGACGATCGAGTCATCTTGATGGATGAAATCTTCGGGCTCTGAATTGCATGATGGAGAAAAAGTTCAATATGATCGCGATTTTCTTTCTTTTTTTCATTTGTGAGCAGTCAATTTTCGATGAGGTGGTTTTATCCGTGAATCATATTTTTGATAAATCACTGTTGCGGATATTTCGAAATGCCTGGGAAATTAAGACGGCAACGACAAGCAACTCGACGGATAGCACATAAAAAAGAGAGTGAATTACTTGTCCTGATGGTAATGATTTCTATGCATGAACAACGACGATTGGTGGGAATGTCCTCAGCAGCAGTGAAACGCGCATGACTTAATTTTGAAAATGGAAATTTTGTGCACTTGGGTGTTGTGTATGTTTTGATGTTTTTTTTGTTCGTTTCGACCAAAAGAAAACCATTTTTCGATCCTTTGAAGTGTTTATTCAGCAGCTCATGTCGGGTGGATGATTTTGGAAATGCATCTGCAGCCTTTCTTGATTCTGTTCTTTCATTTTAAAATTGCGAAGAATGATTCAAACTTGTTATTCTCATCTTTACCAAACATGATTCAAGATATTTGGCTACAGGAGATTATGCTATACAGTATACAGAATTGTTAACGACGCAGAGCCGGCAGATGTCGCTGATGAAGGATGAGTATTTTTTTGACCCTATACAGTAGTTAGATTAACGCAGCTGGACTCTGTATAACAACGAAATTCAAGGGACCAGAAAAATTTTCTTGAGAGAATTGTGTTGCAGAGAATCCCAATAAAATGGGTAGAGAACCCTATAATATTAGAACTCAACAAAAGTTCAAGTCCTCATTTTAAACAACATTGTTCTGTAGATAGCCCACCTGTATCATGGTTTGAAACATGTTGACGAGAAAATATTTTCTGCGGCTTCGGACGAGATTATTTCAAATCAATTGAGACTTTATTGCAGATATTCTGCACACTGCATAATCCACAAGGTCAGAAACCTATTTCATTGGAAAATTGTTCGCGAACTGTCATATATACTCCTATGATATAACTTGAAATCACGTTAGTAGTGTACAATTTGTGTATAAACAGAAAATCGGTTGAATTTCCTCTGTGAGTTCACCAAATGTGAAAAATGTATTTTTTTAACCCAGAAGATTTTTACTTTCAATTCTGTGTAATTTTAAAATGTCAAGGTCTGTGTGAAATAATTGTTGAGGTGATCAGGAAATAAAAAAAACATTACCAAGTGTCGAAGTACGAAAGGATACACGTTTCCGCGCGGACTTGAAATGATCTAAACGCCAGCGATAAAAAAAAAAGCATTTTTCTCTTGTTCACAGTAATTCCAAGAGGCTAAGCAGACACCCTCTCAATGTAATCACCACCAATTAGTTCACACTTCGCTGCCCTTTTGATCCACGTGTTGAAAAAAGCCTTGAAATGTTCATTTACTTTTGAAGCTTGCTCAGAACTGCAGGAACACACTGATCCGCGCGGAACCGTGTAAGCCCTCGTTTGACCGAACACAAAACTGCCCAACCGAAGAAATATAGTAACAGGCAGCAAAATTTTTAAATGTCATTTATTAAAATTTTAAACTCAATTCCACATGCAGTTAATAAATTATTTACTACTGCACAGGTATATTTTCAAATATATTTCGTGGCTAAACGGAAATGTTTCTTTCCTTCGTTTTTCTGCCCGATTTCTCGCGTGAGCAACGCTTCCACAACCAATTTAATTTCTGCAACTTCATACGTTACTTTCATTCAGGACTGGAAAAAATGCATCTGATGAGATTTCTGGTACCATGAATTCCGTTTTTCTTGGAGTACTCGTACCGACGAATATTTTGTGTCACGCGAGAATTTTTCCCGAGGAGTATTCAGTAACTCCCGGTCGAGATGAACCCATTTGCAAGCAAATGTACTGACACGCATGTGATGTTCATTTCGCATGGAAGATGAGTAGGAATGAAAGCACAAAAAAACGGATGAAAAATAGAAAAAACCAAACCAGGAAATGGCCACTTCTTTATACAGGGTTGGCATTTCCAACGTACTGTATACAGAGGAGCATTTCAGAGAAATCTTGTCGATTCACGCAAGGATATCCTATGGTGCATCTCATTCCATTTTCTTTTTGTTCACAGTTTCGTACTGCAACTGCATTTTTTTGGGAATTTTCTTGCAATATGTTTTAAAGGGCACATTTGCTGAGGCATTTTTTTTTCTCGGGTTTTTATTTGTTCACGTTGAAGCGAGGGTGTTTTTGATTCTGTCTAGGATTTGCCAGAAGTGATGGGGCCTCGAGATAAGGACGTAATTCGTGCGTGGACCTTGTCCCTATGTCGAAATGTCTGCATATGTTGGATCATGTTTCCTATTTGGACTTCAATGAGGATATATTTAAGTGGTTCTCCTCTTGATACAAAATGGGAAAACCCCGCCCCCGAATTTATCAATATAATTTTTCTCAATCTAAAGATACACAAAATAACAGCGCAGAAGAAAATCAAACCGAATCTGATAGTTTGGCATGAATAGGAGCCCAAAACACAAAGATAAAGCACAAGTTTTCCTATAGTGCTCAGATTATGGAAAAACTCTGGAAAAAAGCAGCAACAAAACTTGGGCTGTTTTGGAATATGAATTCTAGAGAAATTCATCGTAATTTTTTCAATTTTGTGAATATGAGAATCTCAAGTTATTCAAGAGATAACAGAGCTTTTCAATATGCAATTTCCACGTTTTAGAAATGTTGGAAAAGTGCCTGAACCTCGATCGGGATATTTTCCAGATTTCCGGCAATACTGTATTCTTTTATTTTCATTCATCAAGTGTCCCGAAGTTGAATCGTCCGCATGCCTGGACGAATTGAATCAAGTCATATTTGTCTATATGGAAACAAAATTCTTGATCAGGCTCATGATAATAAGAAATTAAAATGCTGTTCTTACACCAAGTATTTCATTCTTATTCCATAATAAGGAAATCGCGTAACGTGAGGATGGTTCTCCACTCCATTGAATGAATTCAATTTCCTAAGATTACCGTATATAACTTCATCAAACGCTTTCCACGTACCCAACTGTTTTTAATGAGATAATATTTCTTCATGAACTTCATCCATAAAAGGGTTCTTCATCAGCAAGCTTTTTTTTTTTTTTGCTGATGGAAAGATTGCTCTGACTTTTTCTACATTTATTATCCTCTTCATACAAACTCGCTTGCAATTACGTAGCTTACTTCATTCCTTCCAGGTACTTTTCAAGTTTTATAATTGGGTAATGCGTTAAAGGAATTAAACTAACCTCGTTGCAGGTCATCAGGCTCATGAAAAAGTGGTCTCGTTTTCAGCATGCACTTTTTCATGTTTCTTTCCATCCTCTGGTAATTGGAATCTGCCTACGCAACTCTTTTCACTTAAAAAGCCACGAAAATTTGCTGAACATTATTATGTAACCGAGTAGAACCTTCGAAATTTGTTGCGAGATTATTGCTAAAAACTAATAATTGATTCGGTCACTGCCCTATATTTTGAGGATGTTATTGGAAGTTATAAGGAACAATTTTGCATAGCAGAACTTCATCATAGGTCCCGTCCAATGAAAATGAATGACTCTGCTGTTGTAAGGGGATTTTAATTAAGAAATTGCATTACCACAAAGCCATGGGACCAGGAAGCAAGCTTCGTCGTGACATCCGATTTGTTGAAAGGTGATGAGAGTACCACTATAATTATTGCATGTAAATATATAAATATAAGGCAAAATTCGTTGTACCTGTATAGGCAGAAATTCGTCATTTTGTAGTTATGTATAGCAAGGTTTCGCTTTAATTGATAAAATATATTGCACATTCTTTCAAATAAAGTGCTTTCAATGAAAGATTCTTCATTTGAAAGAATGCTGTGCAATATATATTTCATCAATAGTAGCAGAACCTTGCTCTAAAACGACAGAGGGACGAATTTTTGCGAACAACATCGGTTCAAATAATATCGCAGATTTAAGAAAGGTACCAAAGAAATAACCGTACGTATTGTAATGCCGGAATATTTTTTAATGAAATTTATTCAACAAGATAATACATTTAGAAGCATTCTTATAAGTGTCTAAACTGCCTATACGTATGGTATTAATGTGTTTCAAACGCATTTTCCCGATGTTTTCAAATAATCAGCATATATGAATCCAGGAATCTTTATGACGTTAGAACTGCTGCAAATTATATGATTTTTTGAATAAAATGTTGAATCAATAGTGTAATAATCAACAACTCAATCAGGCTTTGTGTTTATGATGATGATATAAACCATATGTATACATACAGTATTTATTCCTTTTTGTGAAAAAAGTATACATTTGAACATGAATGGGATACAGTACAGTATTATGAAAATGTTGGAGTTACTGTAATGACATATGGCATAGTAAGCCCTATATATGTCATGCAACAGTGATGATGAATTACTAAAAAAATGTGATTGGCTTCAAAGGGAAAGGGTTATTGAAAATGAGCTTAATGCTGTGTAAGAGTAATTTGAAATTCACAAGGTCCTTGCATAATGAATATGATGGTAACCTTGATATTGAGTTAGAGTAAACATTTTTGCAAAACATGCTTTTCCTCTATTTATACTTTAAAAATTTGAAATCCATGGCCATGAAAATCCTTTGATAGATATGATTGTTAGAGAGATAAGGTTTTAAAGTTGAAATGGAATAAAATGAAGGAACTTGGTTGGGCTACAACTGGGGTGCCTCAGCAACCTATTTCAAAGTTGGCATAATTTTTACACAATCAACAATACAAAGTTTCACTATTTTCCAAGTTTTTGCAAGTTTATTGAAAGGTCTTGCCAGTCCAAAGATTCAGAGAGAATTCATGTTAGTTTGGAAGAAGAGAAGGGTTTGAGAAGTCATTTATGTTTAAGACAGCAGAATTTTTTACAAGAAATCAGGTTTCTGGTTACAACAGTTTTTCCTTCCTTTCCAGGTTAAAGTTTTTATGTACATTGGTCTTTTACAGATTCTCCTGCCTTGTGTGAGTTGGGACAAAACCCGATTTGCACGCTTAAAACCAAGGGGTAAATGGGAGGTGGAAGAAATTTAATACCTTCGCTTTCTTTGAGAGCTTATTTTCAGCCAGTATAGAAAGAGCTTGATAAATTGACTTTTTTCAGAAAACAGATGCAAGTTCGAAGCAAAGTTCAATAAATTGTTTCATTCAAAGAATGACCCAAAATTCTTGGGAATTATCTTCAAATTTTGCAAAAATAAAAACCAGTTTAATTCATTGATCAGGACTTAACAGAGAAATTAATCTTGAAAAATGGGAAACTTAGAAGTGCTGTTTGTGGCTTGATAAGCAACCATTTCAACTCCATTTTTAGTTCTCTGGATAGATCATCACAAATTCAAAATGAATTTAAAAGTCGAAACTCATCCAATCTTGGCAAAAAATGTATATGCATTTCATTCTAGAAATTTTTGGTTTGTAAAAA